TACCAGCTCTGCTGTACATGGGCTGCAGGAGGCTGATACCAGGCCAGATACAGGTACTTGCACTGAGTGCATTCGTTGATGTATTATAGATTACAGAGCTGCATTGATTTGTGTCTTTTGTATCTGCCTAGATTTCAGCTTCGGTAGGAAACCCCTCCAACAGTGCAGGGATTGGGATACATTTGATCAAATTTTTATGTTCGACGTAACTCGTTCAAGTATTTATTATCTCTCACAAAGATCACAGCATTCCCCCTGGCAATGCCATTTTCTGCTGTTCTCTCCAAAAGCACAGAGCCATCTTTGCTCAGGCATCATCCAATGTCACAAATGTCTGACACAGATCGGCCCCTGCTGCAGTCTCTCACCTTGCGACTGGCTACAAAGTTAGTGTTGTAGCCTGATCACCGGAGGAGAGGAGACTGAGGAAATGTTGCTGCACAGGACATCTAGTGTGCAAAGTGGTGGGGAAAGGGGATGTATAACCTGCTGCCAGTGTCCCTAGCCTTTTTGGGGAGGGAGGGTTGGTGCCGGTGGACCATGCTAATGGGGGGGAGGGGGAGTTGGGGGTTGTTCTCTGCATCATCTCAGCTCTGACTCGTGTCCCACCCAGCTCAATTATGTCACTGGTTGCCGGGCGCTGCGTGGGATGCCTGCCACAGCATCCCAGGTTGCTGACAGCTTGCCGGAGATACTACATGTGTGTGGCCCTTACACATCTCCCCACCCGGCTCTTAGCAGTCTTGGACACTCTGGCCGGAAAGGGGGTGGCAGGAACACTACAAATATTTGTTCTGTTCAAGGTGCATTGAAGTCAATAGCACTGCAGCCACGTCCCCCCAGCTGCAGTACGATCGCCCACACCGAAACGCGTGGCACATCAATGCCTGCGTTGCGGTCCGGTACAGTCAGAACAAATGCTGCATGGACGGCCCTGGCTGTGAGGACTGGATTTTAAGGGAAGCTCAGGTTCTAATTAAGCCCCATGTTATATTTACAACTAGTTGCCTTCCGCAGGATGGTGGAATCCTTGAGAAAATATCTGCAGGTCATTAATCCGGCAGCGCGGTGCATGGCTTTTATCAGGCAGCGGCTTCTTTTAATAATTCACGGTGTAACACTAAAAAGCTGGAAGGTAAATACTAATTCACATAAATGAGCTCATTCAATATTTATACCTCTCTGAAAGAGGAATTTAATTAAGACCTAAGCTCTTCTCTACACGTATTGATACTTGGCGTTGCGTGCTAATTGGGAAGCTGTTGGAAGGTAATTCTACAAGACACGGAGTATTAAACGTATATCATAAATCCAATGACTCCCACTACAATTCATTCACTAAAAGATACATTGTATCCAAAGGGACTTCTACTTCAGCCCCCATTTACACTCGTCACACATGAACACCCACAAAAGGGCGAAGATTCACTTTAAACCGTACTGCATTAAAGGAGGTGTAAAGTCCCAGCATATCCTCTCCTGAATCTGTAGGGCTGGTCAAGGGAGTATGTCAGTCTGGGCGCTGACCGCAGGCACGCTGAGCATCCGCACCTTGTCCTGCAGGTCCTATGGGAGGAAGAAGTAACAAAAGCTGACCACACTAACATAGATATCCTTCTGTGGTTAGCATGGTCGGTAACCAAAGGAAGACCCCCATTGAAGCTGAATCGCAGGTATTTAGTGGGGTTTAAATTATGCAGAAATAAAAGACCCTTTTATAGCAACAACGGGGGGGGGACACGGGG